AGAGTCAGAGGTGCTGCTCCATATTTTGCTGGCTTTTCAGTCTGAGTTCTTCTTCTTACTGTTATAAATTTGCCAGATGGTGTGTGTGTGCTTGCCACAGACAAGAGAAAGAGAGAGAAAGTGAGGAAACACTCTCATTGGCAATGGTCACACTGCAATCCTTTCTCTTCCGTCTTTCCATCCTTTTGGAATTTGGGGCATGCATGCACACACACCTGGCAAGTTTCTCAAGCCACCAGTTCTAGGACTGGAATTATGAAGTGGGTCATGTAAGGCCTGGCTAATAGCCACCCTGAGGTTCTATGCACCATTCCTTTATTGTAAATATCCTCTACTTTGAACATGATCAAAGAGGATTTATGTTACTGGCAAACAAAAACATTGACCAAGACAATTCCCACTTCCGTCAGTCTTCCCCTGGTCATTGATTTCTTCCAATTCATTCTCTCTTGGGAAGCCCACCAAGTTCCTATAATCTCTTAGTTTCCTTCCTTTCCAAGAGCAAATGCTCACAATTCAAACCCCCATCTTGCCCCTACTTACTTGTATTTTGATCATGTTGATGCCCCAACAGACCCAGATTCTCCAGAAAGCCTTCTGGTTCACCTCAGGGATCCCCTTCCAATGACCTCCAGTACCATCAGATTGTGTCAATGGGTCCCAGTTACCAGACCAGAGCCGAAGTCCAGGATGGTTGTATCAGAATCATCAAGAACATGTTTAAAATAACACTCCTTGGCCTAGTTGAGATGGTCACACAGCCACCACTTGGAGGCTGGAAGCCACAGTAGAAACCTAGTTTCAGTTCCCAGGCCAACCTGAACATTCCAGTTCTCCTATAATCCTAGCTAATTGGGAGGCTGGGACAGGACAACTGTGATGCAGCAAGACTCTGCTCTTTCTCCCATGAAGAAAAAAAAAATTGTAGACTCCCTGCCACCACTCTTCCCTACCCCAAGACCCTGATTCAGTACTTTTGGGTGATGTTACTTTTAAAAGGCTTCCAAGTGATTCTTACATGCATTCTGGCTTGAAAATGACCAATCTGTATCTCGTACATAGATATAAACTTGACATAACTGTATCGTAAGGTTACTGATCTCTTTATGTGTTTTTCTTTTCTTTCTTTCTTTTTTTTAAAATTTTTTTTTGCAGTTAACTAAAATCTTCCGGGCCACATAATTAGAAAATGTTCACATGGAACTCTTAGAGCTCCTCTCCTACCACATACCTTCCAGGTCTACTCTGCTACCCTCGTACCTGATATAATTGACCCCATTGAGGGAAGTAGCATCTTTTCTAAGCCTTGGACTTCTCTCTGTCATGCATAGGCCTTCAGGAAGTGTTGAAAAGGAGATGATGTAGAACATAGCTGGATGCCAGTGGCTTCTTCATACAGAATAAATCCAGATAGGAGTGGAATCCCCATGAACCTTCCCTTTCCAAGTGCCTTCAGGACTGTCCTAAGTTGAGGGAATTACAAAGGACAGAATACTTTTTCATCCATTGCAAGGCAAATCTTAATTCAGGAAGCAGATTCTGAGAAGTCTTTGTGAAATGACCCATTCACAAAATAATACACATTGTTACTTAGTTACAAATCTCCAGTCCACGTGATCATGCTCATTGGGCACCCAGGACCCCTCTTCCAGGTCCCAGCATCTCACACACCCTGAGATAACTGGCCAAGACCTGGCAAAAAGGATACAGTGCAAACACCATTGGAAAAGTTAGTGCTGCTATCCAGAGCCTTGGGTAAAGCAAGGATTGTGTGTGTGTGTATGTGTGTGTATGTGCATGCCATGGTCAGAAGGGGAGGTAGTTGGTGCCCTGCATGTCCTACCATGAGTCCTGGGTCAGAAGGAGGTGACCTATAGGACAGAGGTCAATCCCATTCAAAGTCAGCACAGTAGGGTATACGGAGTAGACTGTGTCACTGAGCATGCATGCAAGGGTTGTTAAAATCCTGCAAGGAAATAGCAGGCTGTTTCCTACAATTGGTTTGCTTCAGAAGGATCATTATCTAAAATATCAAAAAGAAAAGAAAAAAAAACACATGATTAAGATCCAAACTCACAATGATTCTAGGATCCTATCTCTGAATGCCCACCTCCTCCCAAATCTTCCTTACTCCATCTCTGCCTTTCTATTCTCTACCCACTACTTGTCTAACCCTTTCCTGACCCCCAACTTCCCCATAAAGTCTGATTCTCCACCAATATCCTTGTCAGAGTCATTCATTTTCCTCCAGGGGACTCTGTACCTGGGGCCATTGGGCAGACGTGTGCTTGTGATGATGAGGAAGGTGCCTACGAGGAAGCCCAGCAGGCCAGCGGTCAGGCCCAAGGCACAGACGAGAGTCTCTGCGGTGTTTGGCAGCAAGGTTGGCACTGGGGGCTCTGGGAGAGAAAGGAGGGTCAGGGGGTAGAGCAAAGGGATTCTAGAGTAAAGGAAACTTGGTCTAGAGTGGTGGGCTGGGGAGGGGACTCCATACCCCAGTGCTTGAGGAGCGGCCCGTCCAGGACCCAGTGCTCCACCTTGCAGTCATAGGCATCCTTGGCTGAGGGCACGAAGGTCAGGTACTGGAACTTGCGAAACAAATGGTCAGGCTGGGAGTAGAAGCTGGTCTGGGACACCCCCTCGGTGATCTCGTGCCCATTGCGTAACCAGGTGATGTTGATTACAGGGGGGAAGATGTTGTCCACGATGCAGATGAGGATGTTGGGCTGGCCCA